ATTTATTTGATAATCATATGGTAAAAACGAGACAGTCAGCAATTTTTCAGTAATAGTGGCTGACGCTTTTGTATTTTTATGTCTGATTTTGGAAGGAAGTAGTTTTAAGTGAGGTGAGACTTGAGGGTACACGGCCAAGGCGGATGTACTGCCAGGCGAGATGGGCCCATTGCTCTGACGCAGGGCAGCAGGGAGGAGTCGGGATGCCAGGCGAGATGGGCCCGTTGCTGTGACGCAGGGCAGCAGGGAGGAGTCGGGATGCCAGGCGAGATGGGCCCATTCTTTGATGCTTTTCTCTCTCTCTCTTTCTCTGCCTGGACCCTGCTATGGAAGCAGGGTTCCCCCAACGCTCCCGGAGCACTGTGCACCATGCCCAAGAGGACTCTGTTTATACCAGCCTCCCACCGGGACCTCCTGCCCAGCCGGCTGGGACCGTGGGAAAAGTCACACAGATGACGGGGAAGAAAAAGACCGGGGATCCCGTTCCACCTCTGCTGGAGGCACTCGGAGGACCAAGTGTGTTGGGAAAGCAATCACTGGGCAGGGAGCTCCCCCCGGGTGGGATACCAGACTAGCTGGGCCCCTGGGTCTGCCCCATTCTTGCCCCAGATCCCCAGGGGCGTGCGCTGGGTGTCTTGTGACTGCATCCGCGAGTGAAGCGGTGACAAAGGGGGCGGGATCCCCCAGGGCTGGACACCACCTCACAGACAACTAAGCCACCTCGTCTTCCCCCTCTGCCTCCAGAGTGACCCAGCTGGGCACAGGGCCTCCAGATCTGTGAACTCCCTGTCTCTCCAGCCACCACCCCATGACAGGCAGCGGGGATCTCCTCTGGTCCAGCTGATCAGTGGCAGACAGGACGCGCAGGGAGGGAGTGGGCAGAGCTGATTGGTGGGGCACAAGGTCCCTGCAGCCAAATGGGCTCTGGAGGGCTCCCCTTTAAAGGTATAGGTTCCCCCTCCCATCCTGGGAGCAGATGGAGGGGCTGGGCTCAGCTGAGAAGCCTGCTCTGAAGACCAGAATGGCCCCCGGTAAACAGATGTGCTCTAGTGGGACATTACTGAGAGTCTCCAATTCAGAACGAACTGCCGAGAAACAGGGCAGTCCCAGCCCAAGACTGGAGGTCCTCCACTTATAAGATACACCAAACCAGCCCACAAAAAGAACTTCTGTCTCACCACACTGGCTATCAAGAAGTTAGAGGAGCAATTCCCTCAGATACTCCAGTTCCCTGTACCACCACCATAGCACTCCGTATAGGGATACGTGGTTCTTAAAACCCGTGTCCCCAGTTCATGTTTCAATCAGATAACATCACATCCCCTCACATGTAGCCACAGTTGCTCCCAAGCCTGGTCACCACCAGTACCTGATGTCAGTGGAATCTGCCTGCTACGTGGTCAACCTTGGATGTTCTTTCCTCTGCTCTGATTGGCTGTTTGCCTCTGTTTCCCACCCAGTCATAGTCCCCCCATACGCCCCGGGCAGCTGACCTCATTGTCCCTGCCAATTACCTCCACAGTAAGACACTGACTTGAACCCAGTCTCATGCTTTTGGACTTCAGCTGGTTGCCCGCAGGGGTCAGGAAGGATCCCCCAATTGATTTATTTGATAATCATATGGTAAAAACGAGACAGTCAGCAATTTTTCAGTAATAGTGGCTGACGCTTTTGTATTTTTATGTCTGATTTTGGAAGGAAGTAGTTTTTAAGTGAGGTGAGACTTGAGGGTACACAAGACAAATCAGACTCCTGAAAGGGGTACAGTTGTCTGAAAACGTTGAGTGCCACGGCTTAAATCACTCAACTAAAGCTTGGTCGGAATTTTTCAGATTTCAAAATTTGGATTTAAGAGTTTACTTGGCATTTTGACCAGAAAAATTGAAGGATTTTTTTTAAGCCATCATTAGAACCGGCTGGAAATTGGAATTTCCATTTTGTGAAATTCTGCATGAGGTTGACCCTTCATTTTTGTTCCAAATCAGAACCAAATCCAAAATCTTTTGCCAAATCTCCCTTGATGGAAATTTTTGCAAACCTTCCATTTTGCTTGAAACTCAGACCTCAGCCTCTTCCTCTTCCTCCACGTCCTCCTTCTAAAAATTTGCCAAAATCTGCACAATTTCAGTTCCAATGAAAGTGCGTCGCTCAACAGAAAAACATTGCATCGGAAAAGCTCGTCATTATCCCTTTTTTCTGGTTTTCAACCAAACAACTGGTGTCAGGATCATGGTTAGCACTAAAAGCCCTGCTGGATAAAATGTGTCAAAGTTCAACAGCATTTTGAGTTTGAACGAACATAAGATCATAAGAACAAAGGTCCATCTAGCCCAGTATCCTGTCTTTCGGTCTTCCAACAGTGGCCAATGCCAGGTGCTGCAGAGGGAATGAACAGAACAGGTATTCATCAAGTGATCCATCCCGTTGCCCATTCCTGGCCTCTGGCTAACAGGCTAGGGACACCCTCCCTGCCCATCCTGGTTAATAGCCATTGATGGGCCTATCCTCCATGAACTTATCTAGTTCTTTTTTGAACCCTGTTATAGTCTTGGCCTTCACACCATCCTCTGGCAAGGAGTTCCACAGGTTGACTGTACGTTGTGTGGAAAAAATACTTCCTTTTGTTTGTTTTAAACCTGCTGCCTATTAATTTCATGAAGAAAAAATGGGGGGGAAGGAATTGATCCATTTCTGTCATTTCCCCCCCTGAGCGCTACTGATGTACTTTGTTATTGTTTATTATTGGTATTATCCTGGCTCCTTAGAGCCCTAGTCCTGGCCCAGAATCCCTCTGTGCTAGGTGCTGTATGGACACAGAACAAAAAGACAAGTCCCAAACAAAAACTGACAATCTAAGCAGTGAAATTGTTGTGATCTACTGTTGAACAGACAGGTACTATTACTGGTCTCTCTCATCCATAGGACGTGCATGTCCCACGCCAGCTCTTCGTGATTTAATTGCCCTTGATGAAACCCCAGCATTGGCATCAGCAGGTGAGTCCAGCATTGCCCAGAGGGATGGAACGGGCCCGATGGGAACTCGCTGCAGAGTGGCCAATGACAGCGCCAGGGGCCATGTCTCACTGCAGCCCTGCTGGACTTTTCCCTAAGGAAGCTGGGGTCAGCGAGATCAGAATCCGGCCCTGACTCCATTGATTTACTCCAGATTTACCCCACGGTCACTGAGGTCAGAATGTGGCTTAATATTTTCAGCGTTTTGGCCCTTTCCCTCTGTTTTGCCCTGCAGGATCTTTCGATGACGAGACTGAGCCCACCCCTAGTTCTGTGGCAGGGACAGCTGAGGCTGAAGGTGGGTGGCACCGATCATTTGCTCCTCAGCTTCTACCATACGCGCTGGCCCATCACAGCCAGAGGTTCTTCTGCCCTCCCCGTGCCAATGGGGCACCTTGTTCCGGGCAACCATAATTCTGTACAAGCAACTAGGCGTGTGCACAGCCTCCGAGTCCCCTAATTCCCAGTGTCACCGTGTGGCTGTTAGGCAGCCGCTGCGCCCCACCCCAGAAGCAGCTGCATTTCACTGCTCAGTGAACAATCCCTGTGCGACGCTGTTGTGCAGCTCTCACCCAGCTGTCACACCTCAGAGGTGGCTGTGTTTCAGCATTGGAGATGCTATCTCTGCGCAGTGGTGCTGTGAGGCAGTTACACAGCTGCTGTGTCCCACCCCAGAGGTGGCTGCACATGTATCCCTGGAACGCAGTTTGGGATGAAAGAGGCCTGGGAAATGGACGCTAATGACGTTATTGACATGATTAATAATTCATCCCTCCCCAGAGATCATCTGCGAACAGACCGTGCTTCTCTCCGCTGGGGCCGCAGCTGGGGCTGCCGGTGAGTGAGGTTGAAATGGACCAGGTGGCGGGTGGTCTGAAGGGCCTCACTCACGGTTGAGCAGAGAGAAACCAAAAATAGCCCCTTGTGGCTCTGACCATCCCCTGATCAGACCTTGTCTCTGCCCCCAGCACCTGCATCAGGTTTAATCTCCACTGTCTGCAGGATCACTCTGGGGTCTCCTCTCCCTCCACTCCACCTGCCCCACATCCTTTCCACTCCTCTCCCCTTTACGCCCTGATCCCCCTCCCTGACCCCATCTTTCCCACCCCACCCTCTGACCCAGCATAGAGCCCTTCCCACGGGCCTTGCGAGCCCGGCACTCTGTGCACAGCGGCAGTGTCAGGGCTGGGCAGACACACAGAACCGACCCATCCGCAGGGGAGTTTGCTGATGGAAATGCCCAGGTCCCATTGCTCTGCACAGGGGATGAGGGCTCCTTAGTTAATGCTGTGAGAATGTGAGATGTGAAAGGGCCTTTCACTCTCTCAGCCGCAGAAGAGACCAGCCTGAGTGAGGATCCCAGCAGGGACCCCTGGGGACAGGACAAATGTGACTTATGTCCCAGAGAGGAGGTAAAGAATTGTGGGATCACTCCGATCCTTGTCTGTCTGTCCATCTATCAGCACTTCCTTTCTCTCCCTCGCCTCAGCCATACCTCTGAGTCTTTCACCAATGCTCTGGGCTGGGGCATCTCGGGCACCTGGGAAACACCCCTGGGGAATGACTGACTGTGGGGCTGGAATCCAGCTGATCACAGAGTCCCCCCTGCCAGCCACTCTGCCAGGGTCCCAGGCCACAGAAACATCCCTCAGCTGAACACTTGGCTACCGCTGCCCAGTTACCTCTGCAAAGACTCTGCAGTGGGAAATCCCCAGTGAGGCCGAGTTAACGCCTGTTCCTGTGTTCTAGGGGCCTCCGGAAGAAATACAGCCTGAGACTGTTCGGGGCCCAGATGGGAAGCAGGAGACGTACAGGTGAGAGCTGGTCCACCCCCTCTGCAGCAGTGTCTGGGAGCACAGGTCAGCTCCTATCACACTGAGTGCGCCGCATCCCATGGGGTGGGCTCCGTGTAAAGAGACACCCGTGTGGGTGGGTAGAGCAGAGCAGGGGGTGAATGAACCAGGAGTCTTGAGAGCTCTAGGAAGGGAGTGGGGTCTAGTGGGTCAGAGCTGAGGGGCAGGGGCTGGGAATCAGGACTCCTGGGTTCTATCCCCAGCACCGAGAGGGGAGTGGGTGTTTAGTGGGTCGGAGCAGGGAAGCTGGGACTGAGGCGATCTGGGTTCTACTCTCAACTTTGCCACTTCCTCCCTGAGTGACCTAGGACGAGACACTTCTCCCATGCCTCAATTTCCCCAAATGGGGAGACAGCGTTCCCCTATGTGATGCGGAGGAGCGTAATGAATCCACTCATTTAGCCTGACTCTCCTCAGAGGGACAGTCTGAGAAGGACCAACTGTTCTCATGATCACTCAACTTCAGTGCTTGGTTACAGAGTAACCCTGATATCGAAGCCCAGGCCTGAGCTGGAGGCAGAGTTAAGGGGATAAATGTGAGGGCACCTGGGGTCAGTTGGAAAAGGACGCGAGATGGATGCAGCCAGTGCTGTTTAACTCTTTTCTCCTCACGCCGTGCAGGGTTCACCTCCTGGGGCCAGGCTCCTTCCTTTGCTCTGAAACCGAACTGGGGTTCGAGGTGAGGGCAGCTGTGACCATCCAGTACGGATACAACTCCTGGGATCAGCATCTGAGCCCATCTGAGAAGCAGCAATGGATGGTGGCCGGCCCTTTGCTCAACATCCAAGTGGAACCAGCCAGGGCCGTGGCAGCCGTTCACCTCCCGCACTTCCTGTGCCTGGCGGGTACGGCCGGAAATAATCAACGTAGCAATAACTGTACCTGGTAATAGCAAGTCCGGTCGCCGGTGTGCTTGAAATCACCGTGGGAACGGTAACTCTAGAAACCCAGCCATGAAAGCCACACTGACCCATAACCACCGTCTCCTGAGTTGGACCCACGGTGACACTGAGTTGTAATCTTAGACCAATCAAGGTTTTAGCTACATCACAGCCTGAAACAGAGCCCTAATCATAGAGAGAACCCAGGAGTCCTGTGCGCCCAATCCTCCCTTTTCTAACCCATCAGAGACCCCACTGCCCTCCCCAGAGCCAGGGTAGAACCCAGGAGTCCTGGCTCCCACCTGGCCACTCTACTTACTTACCCACGCGTCACCTTTGTTTGCTTTATAATCCACCCACAGGGGGAGAGGTCGATGCCTCCCGGATGCGAATTGCCCATTTCGTTGAAGGGGGGATGACCCTGGAGGAGCCAACGGGGGTGAGGCCGTTCCACGCCGTGCTGCAGAACCCCAGCTTCTCCCCTCTGGGCGTGCTCTGGAGGAAGATACAGTCTAAATGCCAGGCAAAAGTCCACTCCCTGGCATTGCTCTACCGGGCGCTCAGGGCTGCGAACACAACCCTGCACCTCTATCTGATCCCCAACGACCGTTCCCTGAGACAGGTAACCGGGAACCGACCGCACACACCCGGGGGGAGCCAGAGCCACCAGTCAGCCTAGAGTGTGAGAGAGCAGATAGCAGGGCATGCGGGCACTGCCCACAGAGCAGCAGAGGAAATCCATTGTGCCGGGTGCTGCACAGACCCCAACCGAAATCGGGGCCCCCCTTGGGCCGGGCGCTGCACAGACCCCAACCGAGATCGGGGCCCCCCTTGGGCTGGGCACTGCACAGACCCCAACCGAGATCGGGGACCCCCTTGGGCCAGGCGCTGCACAGACCCCAACCGAAATCGGGGCCCCCCTTGGGCCGGGCGCTGCACAGACCCCAACCGAGATCGGGGCCCCCCTTGGGCCGGGCGCTGCACTGACACATCAAGTGAGACAGTCGCTGCCCCTAGCAGTTAACAATCTAAATAAACCAATGGAGGATTCTTCATCCCATTTCACAGAGGGGAAGCTGAGGCCCAGAGAGATTCAGTGGTTAGCCCGAGGCCACACGGGGAATCTGTGGAAGAGCCAAGGGCTGAACCCGGCTCCCCTGGGTCCCAGCCCAATGCCTTAACACAAGCCAACCTTTCCCTCTCGCCGTGGGCAGCTGTGCGGGAAGGCCGTGGGAAGCAGGACCCTGATGGCAGGAACCTGTACACAGGGCTGTGTCTATATCCCCCAGCCAAGGCTCTGCTTGTGCCCTACAGGCCGTTAGTGACCATGAGTCCAAATGCCCCTCGGTGCGTGTGCACAAGCCTTCCAGGACCAAGCCCTTGAAATTTGGCTCCTGTTGTGTGGTGTCCAGCTCATCCCAACTTGAGGTGATACCCGAGGTGAGTGACAGGCTTAAAATCACCAGCCCCTCAAGTCCGTACTCTGTTCTGTCCCAGTGTGGCACTAGGGGGCGCTGTGCTGCAGGGAGAAGGGCAGGGACTCAGTAGGGGGCGCTCTCCCCTCACAGCCAATGCTGACCAGATGCCCCAGCATGGCGTGCCCCCGTTGCACTGCAGGAAATGAAGTGTAGGGGGGGAGCTCAGGAGGGTCTGCTGGCTCAGGCAGGGTCATTGCTAATGGACCATCTTCTCTTCCCATCAGGAGCTGGAGTTCTGTTATCTGGGCCCCACGCTGGAGCAGCCGTACCTGGAGATCTACACCCGGGACATGCAGGAGGGGCTGCAGCTCAGCCTGTTGGAAAAGATAGAAGGGGAATCAGTCTGGAAGGCCTTGGTGAGACCAGGTAGGCTCAGCCCAGCTGGAGATGGGGACAGAAGTGTGTGCATGGGGACGGGGGGGGAATGAGTGGAGAGATAGAATGGTGCATATACAGATGGAGGGATGAATGGGTGTGTCTGGGGATGGATGGTAAGTGTATGTGGGTGGATGGATGCATGCATGCATGGAGGGATGAATGGGCGTGTCTGGGGATGGATGGGTAAGTGTATGTGGGTGGATGGATGCATGCATGCATGGAGGGATGAATGGGTGTGTCTGGGGATGGATGGTAAGTGTATGTGGGTGGATGGATGCATGCATGCATGGAGGGATGAATGGGTGTGTCTGGGGATGGATGGGTAAGTGTATGTGGGTGGATGGATGCATGCATGCATGGAGGGATGAATGGGCGTGGATGGAGGGTGTATGGGGATGGATAGACAGATGAATAGATAGACCAGCAGCTAATGAAATAGGATTATTTAGATTAGCCAGATCAGCGTAGGAGGATCCAGGGATGTAGCTAGCTAAATAAACCAGCACCCTAGGGTCTAGTGCTGGATGGATGTTTTGCTGCAACATGATGGCAATAAATACATAAGCTACCATGTGACTTTAGCCAATCAGATCGAACAGTCCCCGCTAGGACGTTACCAGCAGCAGCAGCATTAATCAAAACCCTTTTGGATCCAGCCCGCTGACCCCCCTTCCCTTCTCTCTTCCAGAAGACGTGATGGTCTGCGTTTCATCTGCCCAAATGCAGACAGGTTAGTAGGGATTCACTGAGCTGCAAAACCTGCTCTCCGATCCCAGCACTTCTGGACACACACGGCTTGTGAAAGCCCCTGCGACCTTTTGTGATCATTTGGTGTCCAGCGTTATTGATCCTCCCACAATGTCGACTTGTCTTGAAATCTCTGGCGCCTGGGGACTCTCCACGTTGGAAAGTTGCAAGATTGCTTTGGAACATGAATAGAGCCGGGCAAATAATGGATTTGTTTGTTTGCTTTGGCAGCTCTGAAAACCTGGACGGGTGGGGGTGGAATTCATATCGGGTCGAATGAAATGTTTCATTTGACCCGAAATGGAAATGTTTTGATTTCAGCTCTTTTTAATAAATCCAAGGAAATGCACGGCTGGATTCACAAACTAGGGGCGGGGCTCTAACCCCTTATACCTAGTGTTAGAGCACTCACCTGGGATGGGGAGACCGTGGTTAAAATTTGTGCTTGGAGGAAGAATTTGAACCTGGGTCTCAACATCCCAGCAGAGGACCCTGACCACCAAGCTATAGTCTGTTCTGAGGAAGCCCTTAGTCTCTCCGGTTGAAGCTGTTCCATTGTGTATAAAAACGTGAATAGTCATTGGACCAAAGAGAGATCATGAGAAAGACTCAATAACCCAGTGTTTGGGGCACTCACCTGCAAGATCGAGTCTAGTCCCTGTTCTCGGTCCTTCCCCACTCCAGAGGCAGCTGCAATTCACCACTTCACGAGTGATCCTTGTGCACTACTGTTACTAAACAGCTGCCATGTCCCACCCCAGAGGCAGATGCATTTCACTGCTCAGTGAGCAATCCCTTTGTAGCACTGCTGCTGTGCTCCACCCCAGAGGTGGCTGCAATTCAGGGCTGGGGGAGCAATCCGTGGCAATGAGTGATGTGATGCTTGCATCGGAAGCCTGTAAATCTTGTATAAAGCTTGGAATCCATTAGGCCGTAGAGAAACGGAAGGTCTGGCTGTTCCACGGCATGATGAGAAATAGCAATTCTCTTTTTCTCTCTGTCTCTCCCCTCAGAAGAACATTTCATCGACCAGCACCGAGAACAGCTGATCCAACGGGTGCGCCAGGTGGACGGCTTGCTGGATAAACTGTACAACACCGTGCTGGACAACGAGCAGTACCAGAGCATCCGAGCGGAGAGAACGGACCCGGAGAAAATGCGGAAGCTCTTCGACCTGCTCCCGAGTTGGAACCGGGCCTGCAAGGACCAGCTCTACCAGGTGCTGGAGGCCAAGCAGAAATTCCTCATCCAGGAGCTTAAGGGGACATAAGACTGGCTGCCCTGGCTCACAGCAGGGGCCCATCTAACTCAGTATCCTGTCTGTGACAGGGGCCAGTACCAGCTACTTCAGAGGAAGATGCAAGACCCTCCTCCTTGACAATTCTGGACTAATCTGCCCACGTTGGGTTAAACCCAGTGTCCCCAACTGGCTAATCCATTCTGCTTCCTTAAAACTTTCCTGGCTCTGACACTTTGTACCTCAAAAGCAGCACCCTGGAACCCCTATATTCACCACAGTCATGTAATTATTATAAGTTTTGTACAAAGGATGCCTTGTGAGGTATCATTTTTAAAGTCTTAATCTGTTGAACATTAATAGCCTGTTGGATTGTGTGTGCTATCGTATGGGAAGTTATGAAGTAGTGCTGTATGTGTTACTGAAATATGTGGTGAGGTTGGGCACACCCACAACCATCCTTTCACTTATAACAAAGGAGTGGCCAGCCATAGCCAGATGGGCGATTAATGGCTCGTCAACATCCAACCCGCTATTCCAGAGACTTCTCTGAGAAGGCAGGTATGTAATGGAGACTGCTTGACCAATGGGGACTGCCTGAGCCCCACGTCCCAGCACAGATCTTTCCATCAAGCTGGAAGAAAGTATAAAAGGGGGGAAGTGACATCATCACATGGCCTCTCCCCCCTCTCCATCTCAACACCTGGAAGCACATCTGGAAGACAAATACTTTGAACAGAGGGAAGTTTGGTCCCAGGCTGGAAGGAGTTAGAGGGCTTTCCCTCAACCCTCCCACTTTCCTGGTTCTTGTCACGCAGACAACAAGCAGCAAAAGACCAGAAGGCCGAAGTGCAGACAATGCAATGGTTAATGGGGTTAGTTCCAAACATATCCAGAGCTCTACACACCAGCAGAGTCTGTTTCCCGGTGTTCCGTTCCCAGCTCTGACACCACAGAGCGTTTACCCCGTGTCCCTATTCCCCAATTCCCACCTCCTCCTCCTTAGCAGGCCCAAATATACCTGCAATGCACGCCCATAGTCCCACCCCTTACAACTTAGGGTCATGTTCCATTTTGGGTCTGGTGGTCTTCATCCCACCCCTTTTGCACCCCATGGGAGGGGTAAGGAGTGAGGTTGTGCTGCAGTCAGGGACAGGCATTTCTTTGGTCTTTTAGTGTTTTATACCTCCTGCCCCTTTGCCCCTCCCGACTGGTTGCTTGACTTTGCCTTGAGATAGGGGTTGAGACAGTCTTCCAGTGTGCCCTCAAGTAACACTTTAACTGTTCTTATCTGTTCCCATTGTACTAATTGTACAAATCCAGCTGATTAGGCAGAATCAACCTCACCGTGACTTTTTCCCTTGCTTACACATTTTAGTATAAACAACGAGGAGTCCTTGTGGCACCTTAGAGACTAACAAAGTTATTTGGGCATAAGCTTTCGTGGGCTATAACCCACTTCATCAGATGCATGGAGTGAAAAACACCATAGGCAGGTATAAATATACAGCACAGGAAAAGATGGGAGTCGCCTTGCCAAGTGGGGAGTCAGTGCTAATGAGGCCAATTCAATTAGGGTGGATGTGGCCCATTCCCAACAGTTGAATATCAACAGAGGGAATATGACTTTTTGGAGTGCTAACGAGGTCAATTCAATCGAGGTGGATGTTGGACTTTAGCACTGCCAGTGTAGACTAGCCCTCTGTCTTAAAAGGAAGACAATTAACTTCTACCAGAGTTCTGATTATTTTTTGCTTTTAACTCCTGCTTCTAAAACACACAGCTATTGTGTGCATTTCTTTTACCCCTTCTACAATAGACACTGCACATGTCCTGGGAAAATGCACATCCCTCCACAGTTCAACTCTACATTATATTAGCTGCATCAACTTTCACACAAGGTGTAACTGCCTCCCCCGCACCCATCTCATGCACCCCCAAAGTGACAGTTCGATCACCCAGAGCCACCCCAGGGCTCAGTGTTCCCAACATTGCTCCCCTTTCCCTTCTCTTTTTTTTTCCTGTGCGCACACAAAATAGATCCAGAATGTCTCCCGCATCCCCTGGCCCCCGGCCGCCTCCCACCACAGCCACGACTTTGGTCTTTATTTAAAAACATATTAAACTTTATAAAGCATTGAGGTACCTTAAGGGTTAAAGGCTAAATATCATAGACCAAACAACACTAGTTACCTGTGTCTGGTAAAAAGTGTCTGTCAATTTTGCAACTTTGAATGAAAGATTCAAATGGATTTTTAGTGGCATTATTTAAAAACAAAACAAAACCAATTCATCTTAAATCTACAAACAGGACTTTACAAACCAGGAGTGTTGGTTTAGGTCAGAGGTGGGCAAATTACAGCCCGCAGGGGACCGTCCTGCCCGGCCCTTGAGCTCCCGGCCGGGGAGGCTAGCCCCCGACCCCTTCCCTGCCATCCCCCCTCCCACGCAGCCTCAGCTCGCTGCGCCGCCAGTGCTCTGGGTGGTGTAGCTGGCTCCAACCGGGCCACCCGGCTGCGAGCTCCTGCCACTCTGAGCGGCATGGTGAGGGAGTGGGGATTGGGGGGGGTTGGATAAGGGGCAGGAGGTCCCGGGGGGCAGTCAGGGGACAGAGAGCATGTGGGGTCCCTGCGGGGCGGTTAGGAGTGGGGGGTCCCGGGAGGGGGCTGTCAGGGGACAAGGAGCAGGGGGGGGTTGGATGGGGTCAGGGGGTTCTGAGGGGGGG